GCCGTGCTGTGCCAGTGGGTTTCATCACAGCCTGCATATCCTGAGCTGGCAGGAATCACACATCTTTCCTATTCTTGAGGGCTTTATTTAACATGGCCAAGTCTAGGAGGCCTTAAAGATGCTTGCATGTGGCTGCTGAAAGGTCAATCAATGACTGAAGCTTCTGTCGTGGTCTGTTACTTGCTAGACCCTCCCTGTTTAGTATCCTCTTGCTTATTGCTTTTGTTTGGTTCTTTCATCATCACTGTCTTGTCAGTTCCATGCTCCAACTTAGAATGAATGGGCTGGGACAAGGACTTAGACATCAGGAAAACACATCCTCAGATTTCCACCTGATAAACTGTCAATGCAGGGAGAATATGCGGATGCAGTGAGAAGTGGACACCTACGGCCTCTTTCTTCTAGAGCTACTCAAAATTTAAGAGGAAAAAAATGTTTCCGATACCACAGTCAAGTCTACTGAGAGCTACACAAAATCTCCTACTCTCAGCTAACTGCAGAAATAATTAGTTTTGGCTAACACAGCCCCTCCAGAATGCTACCACGCCAGGTAGATGGACAGGTCCATCTGCTATTACACCAGAATTTTTAAAAGCATTTTCTTCCTTGGGTGGGGACTTTTGTGATGGCAGCCACATCCCAGAGACGTGTCCCAGATAGCTGAGAACACAGAGATGCTTACACCAAGTCCTAAGATAAATCCCAGGTTTCATCTACATCCAGTGTGGCATAAGCAATAGTTCTAGAAGCAAATGGTTCAGGGGCTGGAACAGGAGGTAGGAAATGAAAATAAGGATGTGTGAGGAGACGAATGATGTTCTCTTTTCTCACCACGTGTCAAAACCCTGGCCGCCGTTATCAATGCAGCACAAAGAGCCCTCCAAGGAATGGCTCAGCTGAGGTTTCACCTGCCTGCTTCAGCAAGACAAGTTAGAAAAAATCACAAGTAAAACGTCCTTCTATTGGCCAATAAGACACAAGAAAAAGATCTAGAGGCATTTGTAGGACTTGCAGCTAGCCATTCCTTGATTAGAATATTATTACAAACTCATCAGAACATTTGCATTCCTGCCTGATGGGAAGTCAACATTTTATATTGCCGAATAATGAAACTGACATCTTTTTTTTTTTCTGTTCATTATAATAAATTTGAAGGAGCACTTGAAGGATAACAGGTGTCCATGTGTAGCGTGGAGCATACTAAAAATCACTCCCAAACCAACTCACACATGTGGCTCCTGATGTGGACCCTCAGCTGACAGGGCCTTCCCTAGAATGCTGATGCAGCACTCGCTGAAGCCCTCAGTGCTCCAACGCAAGGAAAGGGGGCAGGGAATGCAGCCCTGACCACACAGTTGCTCTCAGAGTCTGCTGACGGGGCAGGCTGAGCTAAGGCACAGTATATCTGCCACAGGTCACTCCAAATACCCACGTGGGTTGGCCATGGAGTGCTTCTAACAGCATAGACTGTAAATGTCGGGTGGTTCCTGTGGTCCCTGAGTGACTAGCTCCTGGATCCAGGCTTTGCCTATCTCCACTGGATCCTCAGTGAGGAAGCACAGCATGGAACTGCTCACCCATTACTGGTCTGGCCTCAAGCTGATGGGAGAACTCTGTTTCATGGGGTGCGAGGGTCTCCCTGGGGTGCTCAGCAGTCACCTCACACCCTCTTCCTTCCCACCCGCCTCTTTAGTGACACCACCTACCCTGCTTGGTCTATATGGTCGCCATAGAGACTAGAGGTTTGGGCCATCAGGAGTAGTGGGACGTTTTCACAGTTCTCACCAGGCCCTGCTTTTCTGGAGATGTGTTAGAGACTGGGAGACCCAGGCCTGGCTTTTGGAGGCCCATGATAGTTCAGGTTTAAGTGGGATAATAAATGTTAAACAATTAGCACAGCATAGACACAGAGCAGGGACACTCAGTACTTGAGACTATTACACTACTATCAATCCACATCTCTGCGTGAAAGGGGAACCGGGGTGGGGTTAATCCATCAGCTGCACTGTGGCCAAGACAGAGGCAGGAGGATGGTAAAGTCCTCAGGGGACATCTTAGATGTCTATGGGGCCACCTAGTCTCTCATGCAGGGTTGATGCTGATTCCTGGCGAGGCGGAGCAGGAGAGAAGCACTGAGGAGAGCAACAGCAACAAGAGAGCAGGTGGTACTGCAGGCAGCAGTTTAAGGTGGAGTAGCTTTCAATTATGGTGTATTTGTTGCAGTAGAGTGTCAGCTGACTCTAGCCACCAGCTTTGTGTTTAATGTCATGTGGCTGCCAGCCTGGGGAAGCTGCTGTGGCCTACAGAGCTGCCACACTGCAGCTTTCAGTGCCTCGCTGGCAGTTGTTTTGTCCCTCGGAGCAGTAGGGACTGGCAGACTGACTGGAACTATACGTGCTATTTCTGTGCATAGGATGTGAGCAAGTACATGCCACAGTAAGTCACGCCAGGATATGAGTCAGAATCTACTATAGAGCACTAGGACGAACCAATCTTCAAAGCATGCTGAAGGCATTATGTCATACTGCAACCCGATTCAACAGGAGCTATGACTGATACAAATACTAAGCAAAAGAAAAGGCCAAAGAATGTGGCCAATTAGGATTAGCCTGACGAAAAGAAATAGATACTGTGGGATCCAAACTCCAGAGGTCTTAAAATTAAAGATAAAAAGAGGCCTGGATGGTAGCCTAGTGGCTAAAGTCCTTGCCTTACATGTGCCTGGATCCCATATGGACATCATTTTGTACCCTGGCTGTTCCACTTCCCATCCAGCTCCCCGGCTTGTGGCATGGAAAAACAGTAGAGGATGGCCCAAAGCCTTGGGACCCTGTATCCACACGGGAGACCTGGAGGAGGTTCCTGGCTCTGGATTGGCTCAGCTGTTGCAGCCACTTGGGGAATGAACCCTGAAGATAGAAGTTCTTTCTCTCTCCTTCTCTGTAAATCTGCCTCTCCAATAAAAATAAATAAATCTTTAAAAAAAGAGAGAGAGATAAAAAGAACATTCATCAGAACCGTATCATTTTCTAGCACACTTAAAGATAAAAGGAGTGAAATAATATGGACAACTCAGAAAAGCTGTACAATATGACTAGTTTCAGACCAGTCAGCTTTGGCCATGCGACCATTTGAGAAATGAACCAGTAGATGAAAGATCTCTCTATTCTCCCTCTCCTTTTTCTCTGTAATTCTGCCTTTCCAATTAGAAAATATATATATATATCTTCTTTCCAATTAAAATATAAATATATATACATCTTCTAAAGAGAAAAAAAAGTCTGTAAGGAGCCAGAAAAACCCATTCAGTGTGTTTGATGCAGTGAGACTTTCTTAGGCTTTCATTCATCTTTGAATCCTTTAAAACAAACATCCTTTGCTTTTGTAGCAGAGGATAAGACCAACAAAGATATCTATGACAGAATTAGCCTGGTTGTTTTCTATATAGCCTCCTTATATACCTATGGGTACTGCATCTGCAGATTCAACCAACCAAGGAGAGAAAATATTTGGGCAAAACCACTGTGCATATCAAACATGTCCAGAATTGCCTTCCTGCCATTATTCCTTAAACCATGTAAATGGGTGTCAGAGGGCATTGTACCAGATGCTGCACATTGTACTGGTTGCTGTAAGCCAGGGATGATTCAGGGTGTACAGTTGGATGTGTGCACATTAGACTCATGTACATTACTGGGCAGGAGAGCTGTGAGCATCTGTGGATTCTGGTACCTGACCAGGGTCTTGGAGATCCAACTTGGCCTGATGGCAAAGTCCCTCAGGGAAGCAGCGGAGTTCCCCCTCAGGATAGCCTCATGTGGTTAGTAGAGCAGGCACCTCTGCAGTGCCTTGAGAAAGCTGAGCTCATAGCACGAGAAGCCCTTCCTTCACCCTTGCCCCTGGACTCCTGCCTGGCTGTAACAATGCTCCTGCTTTCTGAGCTGAAGGCCAGGCCATTGGCACATGGTGGCCGTAACCATGATGATCCCAAACAGGTGCTGTGTGACCTTGGCAGGCCTGTACATCTCAGCAGGCCATGGCTTTGCCATTCAGGGACTGAAGGAGTGACAGCAGCCATCCATGTGCCCCACTGCCTCCTTCCCACCAAAGTCTTCCAGAACCCCCTCTGCATGTCAAGTACCAGGAGCCAGGGAGAACTGCTTGCCCTGCCTTGTGGTTGCAGGGCTCAATCCTCACTCCCCAGGAGCCAGACATTTCCTCTCTGTTAGAAAGCTGTGTCCAGGCCCTTGCCCTGCGGTCCCTGTCTCCAGCAGAACAGGGGAGATGATAGGTGCAGCTCTAGGATCACGCCTCAAGCCCCTGCCCTCTAGAGGCTGAAGCAACCCTTCAGCCCTGACCTTGTGGCTCAAGCACTTTTCCCTCTTCACAGGTCACTTGGGAGAGTTGCCCAGGTCCTCTTCCCCAGCCAGATCATCCCTTAGGTAATTCCTACTCTCCCCCCTGGTTCTTTCAGGGAGCTTCCCCAGCACCTCCAAGCAGACCAGGGCCCCAATCCCTGCACCTTGCTCTAGGGCCCACGTCTCTTAGAATCTATTCCAGCTCATCACCTGTTTTTCTGTGTGGTCACTGGGCCACTGCCTGCTTTCTTTACCAGAGTAGAGGTTTCTCCCTGGCAGGAGCTGCCTCCAGACAGATGCCCATTGAAGCCTTGCTGTGTGGGAAGGAGCTGCAGGTGCTCAGGGTTGGATGTGTGTGGGGACAAGGAAACCCAGGCTGTGGGAAGAGGCCTCTCTCTCTCCCTCTGAGCCCCTACCTCCTGTGTTTCTGTGGATCCTGGTGGCAGACAACAGAGTTGAAAGGCATTCAGAGGATGTGGCTAAGATCCAGAAAGTTTCACAGTTGAAAGAGCAGAGATTTTGATGTGCCGACCTCCAGTTTGCTCCAAGGCAGGGTGCCTGCAGCTGCCCAGGGACATGGGAAGACAGGATGGCAGGCTTTGCCAGAGATGACAGGGTTAACAGGGTGGGGTGGGCACTGACCTCGGCTGATGCGCTGCTTCTCCCCAGACAGGATGCCAGGGCTGTCGATAATGCTGATGCTCTTCAGGACCTGGTTGGGCAGCTGGGAACACATGAACCTGGAAGACACAGGTCAAGGTGAGGTCAGAAGCCAGGCCTGGCAGAGGCCTCTAACAGAGGACCCTTCCCAATGCCTCCCACATAGCAGGGACTTAGAGAAAGCTGACAGCAACCTCAGTGGAGCCACAGAGAATAGCCAGGCCGTGAGACAGGGATGGAGTGCACGCTGGCATCTGCATCTACCTACCGCCTGGCTCTGTACTATTAGTTTTTACCTGAGCTAACATTACTTGGATACTTAAGTATTGCATGAACATCACCTCCTGTAAGAGGGTACGTGTCAAACCAACAAGGAAGAAATCACCATCACCCTGACAGAGGTTAGGTAACTTGCTAGAGTCACTCTAGTTTGCTAAAATCTAGGTCGGAAAGCCCATGAGCCTCCCCTCCCCTATGCCAGGCACCTGCGTCTTTCTGCATTCAGACATCTTACATGCTGTCAGGGCTCACGGTGGCACTGGAACTCTGTCTAGGCCTTGCCCTCTTGCCAGCCTGAATGCTGAAGGAGGTACCAGGCTGTTTCCATGCCCTAGGGAATCAACAAGCAGCCTCAGGCCCAAGGAGAAGCTGGCAGCTGTGGGCCACACCCCTGGTCTTCCAGGTACATAGGGGCCCTAAGAGAGCCAGATAAGAGGCTAGGATGGAAAAGAGCCTAGCTGAGCATCTCCAAGTGTCCAACCCACCTGGTACTATCCCTTCTGACCCCCATCCTGCCTGCTACAGTCCCAGTCAGCTGCCTCTGGCCCACAGAAGTATGGTAGGGTGGGAGGAAAACTCAGAACTGGAGAGCAGAAGACCTGAGCTTGAGTTCTCCTTGGCTTTGCCCAGGCACTGTCTAAGGGCTCCTAGGCTAGGGCCTGCTGATCCTCGTGTGTAAAGGAGATGTCTGGACAGGCACTGATGACGTCTTCTGTTGACTCTCACTGTGTAATTCTAAGCACAAGGAGGAAGTTCCCTCCCCTCCCCTGCAAAGGTCCCTGAAGACAGGCACCGTGTGCCGTAAATGGCTGCTTGCATACTCTGTACAAGCAGAAAGTTCAGAAATGCTTGGCACTAGCTCAGTTCTTCCCTTCAGTGCAAGTGGTAGGAACAGTCAGAAGGCAAGCGTGCCAGTAATTTGGGGTGGGGAGGCTGCCAACCTACAGAATGCACATGGCAGGGCACAGCTCAGGGGCACTCTCTGGTGGGCTGGGATGGCAGGCCTGAGCCCAAGATGCTATTATCCACACTTCCAGACAACTTTCTCTGAAGGTGCTCAGGACAAATTTTCACACATTATGTCTGGTAGTGTCAAAGACACAGGGAGAAGAGATATCCCAACCCTTGGGTCAGGAGGAAATGCAGAACAGAAAGCACTTGTGACATCTGGAGGCTATGCCTGACTGCATGGCTGGCTGAGGCCTGAGATCCAAATGACACTCAATATCTACAATGAAAAACTCCTAATGCTGGCAACAAGGAGTCAGGGATCATGTTGTGTTACAGGGGGTGAAGCCACTGCTTGTGATACTAACATTCCATATGAGTGCTGGTTTGAGTCCAAGCTCATCCACTTTTGATCCAGCTCTCTGCTAATGCACCTGGAAAGGCATAGAGCACCACCCGAGTCTCCCACATGGGTGGCAGGGGCCCAAGTACTTGGGCCGTCTTCTGATGCTTTCTCTGGTACATTGGCAGGGAGCTGGATTGACCCAAATCAGGCTTGTATGTGATACTGGTGCCACAGGCAGTGGTTTAACTTGGCTGTGCCACAGTGCCAGTCCCAGTGATTGACATTTTAAAAATCAGACTTTTAAAAGCCTCAGAAAGCACTCACAGTAGGCTTGGTGGTAAAAACAGGCACAAGCATTTGCTGACCTCTCACAGTATCAGACTTGCTGCATACATTTTCCATGTGTGTTCATTTTATCTTGACCTCCACCTTACAGGACGGAGATAAGGCAAGGCTCACTGAGTCCCACGCTGACCTAGCTGGCAGTTCCAGGTATAGGTTCCTAACTGCTATGCTGCTCCCAGTGTTGCCACAAACACTGCCAGGATCAGGAATGGGTGTAGGACAGCTCCCCGTGGCCCAGGAGCACACATAGCCCTGGAGCTCCTCACTGAGGCACCTGGGGCAGCTGGTTCCCTTCCATAGTGATGCATAGTAGACAGATATGGACTGGAGCCTGTCTCCCTTGTCACTGGCCCTGTGACACTGCACAGTCTCTGAGTGACCCTACCAGCTCCCAGGACTCCCAGGTTGATGCCAAGGTTCAGGTAAATCCAAGTTCACCACAGAGGGAACCCAGGGCCATTTCATAGCACCTTGCTGGACTCCAGCCCATATTACGATGGGAGTACACCCAGAGGACTGATGCATAATTTCCTAAACAGGAAAGCAAATAGACAAAAAATCTACCAAGATTCTGACAACTAAATCATAATAATTACTATGACCAGGCCTGATATGGTAGCCTAGCAGCTCAATTCCTCACCTTGAATGCTCTGGGATTCCAAATGGGCGCCGGGTCTAATCTCAACAGCCCTGTTTCCCATCCAGCTCCCTGCTTGTGGCTTGGGAAAGCAGTCAAGGACAGCCCAAAGCCTTGGGACCCTGCACTTGTGTGGGAGACCCGGAAGAGGCTCCTGGCTCCTGACTTCAGATTGGCTCAGCACCGGCCATTGTGTCTGCTTGGGGAGTGAATCAGTGGATGGAAGATCTTCCTCTCTGTATATCCAACTACACAATAAAAATAAATAAATCTTAAAAAAAAAAAAAAAAGAATTTCTATGACTAGCAGCCTAACATCCTGTGCCCAGAAAGAAGTCATTGCACATCCAGATGATGCAAAAGTCCCTGGCTGGGGCCAGTGTTGTGATATATAGGTAAAGCAGTCACTTGAAACATTGGCACCACATATGGGTTCAAATCTGCTCCACTTCTGACCCAGCTCCCTGCTAATGTGCCTAGGAAAACAACAGAAAATGGTCCAAATACTTGGGCCCCTGCACCCATGTGAGAGACCCAGAAGCACCTGGCTCCTGGCTTGGGACAGGCCCAGCTCTAGCAGTATGACCACTTGGGGAGTGAACCAGTCAATGGAAGATCTAACTCTGCCTTTCAAATAAATTTTTAAAAAAATGAAAATTTTTGTAGCTACCTCTCCTATTAAGCTGTACAAAATGACCCCTTTTAGGGGTAAAATATGGTCTAAGATTGGCAATGCTTCAATCTACATCTGTATCTTTGTGAATCTTCCCTAATGGATATGGGACAAACCTTGTGCAATGTGCCAGCTGGGAAGGGACATCAAGCAACAGCCTGGGGAGGAAAGCTGGTTTTCTAGAACGTCAGGACCAGCAATGCACAGGCAGCTGCCAATCAAGAACAATGTTTTAACCACTGGAGCCACCATAATCCTGAGGTGAAAGATTGCTGGGAAAAGCTTCTGCAAGTTTACTTTGGATACATAAACCACAAAAAACATCCAGATCTTTGCTTGGATTGAAATGAAACAATTCTACTGGGGAATCAAAATCAATTCCTGCCATGAGTTCACTTTCCTTCATCAAAGCAGCCAAATTAGCTGGCCTGCCAGCAAGTGCCAGATTGATGCTACGTATCTGTAATGAGGCTGTTTGTTCTTTTCAAAGATGGATTTTCTATTTGATTGAAAAAGTTACAGAGAGAGAAGAGACAAGAGAGTTTGGGGTCTTCCATCTACTAGCTCACTCTCCAAATGGCTGTAGGTTGAAGCCAGGAGCCAGGAGCTGCTTCCGGGTCTCCCACATGAGTGAGCAGCCATTCACTGCTCCTTTCCCAGGCACATTAGCAGGGAGCTGGATCAGAAGTAGAGCATCCGGGATTTGAACTAGCATCCACATGGGAGGTTGGTGTCACAAGTGGAGGCTTAACTAGCTATATCACAACATTGGCCCTATGAGTCTATTTTAGAAAAGCTCCCCATGATAGGTATGTGTTATACAAAATTCAAGAACTACCACTGATTGCAACCTCAGAGAGTAATACATGGAATGCAAATCAAGAGCTATGCCTGTATATTCTCCAATGGCTAAACCCTGGCACTGGCTCTCTGGCACCATCATCAGGGTTTGCTCCTCCAGCAGAGATCTGGATGCACTGTCTACACTCCTCCAGTTCAGGAACAAACTTTGTAAGGTCAAGTCCTAGGACAAGGGCCTCAAGTGATTTTCCAATGGGAAACAGAGGCAAGGGAGAAATGAAATATCAAGCTTCTTGCATAGAAGACTGAAACCTACAACTGTACTTGATTGCAAAACAAAAAGTAAGCAGTTATCCTAGGTCGTAAAACTAAATGCATATATACACACACCATTTCAGCAAAGTAGACTGAAGGAGAAACATCACATCCACCTCTGAAGCAGACAGCAGGGGTCAGTCCCCAGTCCTCGGAACCTCTCAAAGTGAACTGGGCTCTCAGGTCTCGCCCAGGCCCCACAGGTCATGCCCACCTGCTGCTCTATGACAGGAAACTGCTTCCCAATAACAAACTCTGAGTGTCACCCACACTCAGGAGCTCCTGGATCATGCAAATCTGTCTGGTGGAGGCCAGGATGTGCCATTCAAGCTGTTGCCTTGGAACTCTTTCCATTCTGACTCCTGTAGAATTGTAGTCAGTCAACGCTGAGCTCTGGCATCTTGCCTCCATTTCCTTCTGATGGACACCCTCAAGCACTGGCCCAGAGAATTCAAATGTCAAAACTTCCTCTTTTGGTGAAAGAATATGAAACGTTTGCGCAGTGTCACTTTGGGGGAGGGGGGCGGGAAGGGTGGGGAAGGAGGAACCTGTCTCCATTTCTCAAAAAAAAAAAAAAGCCTGGGTTGCTATCTTTGGGAGCAGGACGCAGGTGTTAGCTTGCAGGTGTCACTGGCTATGACCTGGGCATGTACTTAAAAGGCTGTCTGAGACGTCCTGGGAGGGGCAGAGGGTCCATCCAATGCCCTGTGGCCCTGTCCCAGTGAGATTCTGTGGGGGAGACGGGGTGGGGTGGGGAAGGGTTCCCAGAACACACCCTAGCTGCCTTCCTCCTTGGAGTTGGATTTTGACCCAGTTCTCAGGAAGTATGCTATGGGAGAGGAGGTTGGGGCCTTCAGTGCTAGCCTGAGGACATACACACCCTCAAGGATGCTGTGGTTACAGCCACGCCCCTGAGCACCCAGCAAGGATCCTCTCCAGCAACTTTTATGTGCCAAGCACTGCTCAGTCAGGCTGTTACCAACTGGGCACACAGCCACCCCGGCCCTCATACAGTTTCCAGGACAGAGGGGAGGCACAGACTCCTTGGCAGGTGCCCCACAAAGGTGCAGGAAGGCAGACAAGGGGTAAGGGGACTGGAAGTCTAGTCCTAGTCCTCAGCAAGTCACCTCTTTGCTTTCAGTCTTGGCAACCCCCAAAGTCAATGTGCCTGAAATTACCTAAGCCCTACCCAAGGTCGCAGTCCCCGCCATCTTCACCATCTCTGCTATAAGATCACATAAGGAACACCCTCAAAAAGAACAAGAGGCCACGAACAGAGATTCTCAGCCCACATACCACACCCCCTGGCAGGTCGGTGTAGTGGTCACCAGCAGGCCCGGGCTCTGATCCTTGCATGGCCACTTAAATTAACTGCTCTACCCCTCAGCCCTCCTCTCTTCCCTGGGAACCTTATAGCAACTCCAGCATGCAGTTTCTGCAAAGAATTTAAAGCTAACGTATGGGTTAAGCTCAAAGCAGTTCTTAGCATGCAGGAAATATTCTATCACTATTTGCTCATTTTCTGTGCATTACTTGGAATTCCACTAACCCTGGATGACATGCTGTGTGGATTATTTTTTGGCAAGTTTCAAACTCTGAGATAATGTGCCTTCCCATGCAAAATAGCTCCTGAATACTTTTCTGTCTTTGTCTGCTATGTGTTTGGGTTTTGAAAGAAAAAAATTGCTAGGAAAGCAAGTTATGTGTCCAAATCAATGATTCTACTAACTACTCTTCCCCAGGCCACCCCCTGTGAATGGGACTCTGAAAAATTTGACAGCTTACTTCTGTTGATGCCTTTGTCTGGGTAGGGTGGGGTCATGGAGGGTAACGGCCCTTGGGATTTCAGAGCAGCCTGCCGCACACCCTGCGTCCTGTGTTTTCCGAAGCCTCCGGAACCTTCCAGGGCCAGCCCTGGGACAGGAAGTCTGCCTCTTGCCTGCCCTACTGAAGGAGCTCCTCCACCCACCACCTCTGCACTTTGGTTCCAGCCTAAGGGATGCAGGGAGCTGGCTGGGCTTCACGTTCCCCGCAAGCAGCAGCTGAATTCTCATAGTCTGGGCTAACATGAATGCCTCCCTTCCCTACCTAAAGCTGCAGAGCAAACTTGCCCTGGGAAGTGAATCCTACAGGTTGGATATAAGCTTCCAAGCAGTGGTCTGCAAATGACCGTGAGCCATGTGGTACAACCAGTCCTGCCCATACCTTGCTTGATACCTTTATAGGGGGTCCCAGCCTCCCTGAAAGAAAAGCTCCTCAGGAGAATCCTCTGTGCTCAGCACCAGACAGTTTACCCAGCCTGACAATGCTGGCCCTTAAGCCAGCGTCCCTAGGGGAAGCCTGCTGGGCTTCCTGCTTTCACAGCACTGAGGAGTAAAACCTTGTGGGGAATTTTACCCATGTCACACCCAGCAGACCCTTTCTCTAGGAGACAAGAGACGAGGGATGGAGAAAAGCAGGAAGAACTGGACTCCGCTCCCTTAGAAGCCCCAGTCTGAGCACAGACTGCAGACTCGGCTCTTGGCTCTTTTCCTGAGCCACCTGCCTGGCCTACCTTTGTGTTCTCTCCATTAAACCACGTAGCCTTGTTCTCCTCAGTGTGAATGCCATGGCACCCTCTCAGATTCTGTCCGGAGAGGTGCCCATCTGTTCTGACAGATGCCTTATCCCATTCTACCTGCTCCCTTGCTCACCAGTGCTCTCTGTCTCGCATTCCAATTCCTTCCTGTATCAAGACAAGGGCCCATCCCACCCTTTTCTGTGAGCAGTGCCTTGCCCTGGGGGGAGGACCAGTCCTTGCTTTTGAAAACATCTGGAAGGGAGAAGTGCAGCCCAAGGCGCCTGCCCGTCAGCACTCCTGTTACTTCCTCTCCCTGCATGTGCTTCCTCCACTGCTCCCTGCCTCTGCCCCTTCACAACCCCCTCACCCAACACCACTCTAAAGAAGCAGGTGGGGCCCGGTTGGTATCCTGGTTGTTCCACTTCCCATCTAGCTCCCTGCTTGTGGCCTGGGAAAGCAATTGAGGATGGCCCAAGGTCTTGGGACCCTGCATCTGTGTGGGAGACCCAGAAGAAGCTCCTGGCTCCTGGCTTTGGATTCACTCAGCTCCAGCCAATGCAGTTACTTGAGGAGTGAACCAGTGGATGGAAGATCTGGAATCTTTCCAATAAAAATAAACAAATATTAACAACAACAACAAAAAAGAAGAAGAAGAAGAAGCAGGTAGCAGGAAAGAAGGAATAGGAAAGGATGCCAGAAACAAGCAAAGAAGGGCCAGGAGTAGCAGGGAGGATGAGGAGAGGCAATGAGGCAGCTGCACTGCAGCCTGTTAAGGGGCAGTAGACTGTTCCCACTCCCATACAGATAAGAGTCCCTGGGAACTCTGAGAAACGTTACACACCCGACACAAGTAAAACAGGCCCCCAACTAAGCCACAACCTCAGCAAGCCCACAACTCCCTGCTGAGAGAAAATGGCCTCATCCTAACCTGATAAGCTTTCTGGATTAGGACTTCTATTCCCACTGCTCTGCACTAATGAAGAAGGAAGCAGCTCAAGGTGTAGCAGTGAGAAGCAAAAGGGATGGCCAGGGAGGTGAGGTGGCCTGACCTGGAGTCAACAGGCTAACCTCGGGGATCCCCTAAGCTGAGTTCTCAACTGCAGGTAGGCCCAGCATGCCTTGCCAGAGCTATGGCCATATGGCCACCACCTCACACTGCTGTCAAATTAGGTGGGAGGGTTGGTCTTGCTGTGGGAGACACAGGCTAAAGAACAAAACTGGGAAATGCATGCAGTTGATGAGGGACAAAACATGGACGCCAGCCTGGAGGCCACCTATAATCCACATGTGAAGTCCTGTCCTAACCTTGGCCCCAAACCTTGTCCCCCTTGCCAGGGCACCTCAGGGAATCCTGCCAGCCCTGTATCCAATAATACTGTACTGACAAAGCCCTGGGTTGGAAATTTCACAAGCTCTACATTCAGAGAAGCCAGCAAGATCCCAACAGAAGAGGGAGTAGCAAGGAGACATGGCGGCCAATATCCATATAGGAACTCCAATCTGAGTGCTGGGCCTTGGCTGAGATGCCCACCTGGCCCACCAGGGGCATCCTCACCATCACATCCCACTAACATGCTGGCTGTCAATCAGTCTCACATCCTAGGTTCTGGTCATGAACGCAAGATGAGAACAGTGTGCAGTTGTCTGTAGTAATGGTGGCATGGAGCTCCCTCCCTCCCAAGGTGACCTGTTCTATGGGTATGTGGCTCAGATATGAGAGATTGGCTCCTCTATCTGTGCAGCCTCATCTCCTCATCAGGCATCTGGGCCTGGGCCCCAGCTCTGCTCTGCTACAGAGCAGGTGTACCAATCGCCTCCTGTGACACTCTCCTCTCTTCCGGAGCAGATGCTCTTAGCCGAACCCATTCAAACGACTGGCAGCCATCCAAAGAGAGGACCTAAACACCATGACCAAGGAGTGGAGGACACCATGTTGTGGGCCTTACCGATTCAGGAAAGCATTTCCAAAACGACTGAGCTTCCGAAATGGCTTTTTGGGGTCCACGACCAAGGCATTTCCAGGGGTGTTGCCCTCAGTGTCCCCATACATCACAGCGATGAAGGAGTCGGTGGTAGGCTCCGGACCGATCCTCATGCCTGGGAAATCCTGTTCCAGTAAATATCTGCAAGGAGGGAAACAAGACAACAGAACTTAGCACTCGTCAGAGAGGTCAGAGAGCCGCTGGGGTTGCCCATTTGCACACAATCACAGACACATAATCATCAAGAATGAGAAAGCATCTTGGGGGCAGTGGTGGGGTTGTGGGGGAGAGGCAGGTTGCTTGATCTCTAGCTAACAAAGAGCAATCAAAGTTTGAAATCTATAAATTTACTTGCCCTGGTGAGAGGTGGTCCAGTGAGGGGGCCTCCACAAAGCATGGCTATTCTCATAATGCTTTCATTGAAAAGCAAACACCATGATGCCCCGCCCTTCCTGGATGCCCTGCTGAAGTTCCCCTCCTTAACCCTCCTTAGAGAAGTTGCCCCAACATCTGTTCTGTGTTCCCCAAGCACCCTAAGCCTGCGACCCTTTCCTGGGGCCCTTACCTGTCTGTGGGTCCTGCCAGGTGTCAGATGCCCCAACCCTCCCATGGGGATGAATGACACTTCAACGGAAGGCACCTGCATGAGTCTGACTCCCTACTTATACTGCTCACTGTCCAGCCCATCCTAATCCACTCTATACTTCTAATCAAATGTAGGTCCAGAACCTGTGACTCTACTTCCAGAGATGAAGGAAAAGAACTGAGCCAGCAAAGGTGAAATGCAATTTTTAATTCTATTCGAGATGCCACAGAGATTTATTTATCTATTTTGAAAATTAGAGTTACAAGGGGGAGGGAGGAAGCAGAGAGAGATCTCCATCCACTGGTTCGCATGCCACATAAGTGCAACAGTCAGAGCTGTATCATGCTGAAGTCATCAGCCAGAATTTTCATCTGGGTCTCCCACACTGGTGGCAGGGACCCAAACACTTGAGTCATTTTCTGCTACATTTCCCAGGCTCATTAGCAGAGAGCTGGATCAGAAGTGGAGCAGTGGGCCGGCTTGGTGGCCTAGTGGCTAAAGTCCTCGCCTTGCATGCGCCAGGATCCCATATGGGCGCCAGTTCTAATCCTGGCAGCTCCACTTTCTATCCAGCTCCCTGATTGTGGACTGGGAAAGCAGTCGAGGATGGCCCAGAGCATTAGGGGGACTCTCCATGGGGCTGGGGGGGGAGGGGTTAACAACAATGGCAGACTGAGACAGCCTAAGGACGGCCTTATTGATCAGGAAGGCAGATGAAAAACAACTGTTGGTGGGATATAAACTAGTACAACCACTAGGGAAGACAGTATGGAGAGTCCTCAGAGATTTGAAAACATGTTCACACATGATCCAGCCATTTTACTCCAAAGCATATTCCCAAAGAAGGTGAAATCAGCATATGAGAGTTATCTGTACCCCCATGTTTATAGAAGCTCAGCTGATACGGAACAACTCAGATTTCCAAAAACTGAGGATTGGATAAAACAAGTGTGGCATATATACATGACAGAATTTCACTGAGCCATAAAAAAATGAAAATTTTCCTGTGTTTTGCAACAAAATGGATGCAATTGGAGACCATTATGTTTAGCAAAATAAGCCAGTCCCAAAAAGACAAATACTATCTATATGTTCTCTGATTTGCAGCAGCTAATATCTAGAGTACAAAATAAGCAGTGTATACAAGTGAAACTGGTATCTAGATATGTGATTATTCTTATAGCCCTTGTCTACACTCCTACGGAACAACACTTTTTATGTGTTGGATTCCTTATTTGTTATAGGATTAAGCTCATGATTATAAAGTTGAAAGTACGTCATCCCAAATTTAAAACAAAAAGGTAGGGAAGGAGGTAATGTTATTCAAACTATATGTATGAAATACATGAAACCAGTTCTCTTTATATAAATGAATAAATAAACTCATTAAAAAAAAAAAAAAGGTAGATGAACCCAGTAAGAATCCTCTTACCACCTTCAGGGGGAGGAACTGGGGATGGAGGCCCACCCTGGGGAGCTGGTTGCAGTGTGGCCCCTTCGCTGCACCTTGAGCAGGCCCAGGTCCAGGTCCTGGGGATGTGAGTGGCTCTCAGGCAGGGTAGAAGGGCCATGTGGGTGCTGTAGTCACCCTGAGTCCCCCACCAGCTGACCACTCACTTGCAGTGGGTGTTCAGTTGGCTGAGAGCTGCTCTGAATGCTGGATTACCTTCTGATAATCCATGTCTGTAAAAGCACAGCAAATCCCAGTAACTCAGAAATAATTGGGTTTTGCAAAATATCATAAATCATAAGATTGCTCGATGAGCAGGTGTTTCCTACTTCTAAGCTGATACCGTCATCAGAAGCAAGAATTTCCTAAGTAGCAACTGTGCCAGAGAGAATGTCTAACAACTAGTTATTTTAGAAATCTTCTGCAAATGTGAAACAATTTGAAGTAAAAGGTGCTTCTGCAACTTCAACCCCAGGGAATCATCCAGGCTCTGGGCCCTAGACACAGAGGAAGAAGGGAGAAGTAATATACTATGAAGCTTGCTTGTATTGTTAATTTGTTTAGCAGCACTTTCTCCCATAGATAATAAAAAAAAAGTCAAATATCGATGTTCAATTTTATTTTCCAAATCATGCCAAGTGCAGACATGGCACACGAGCCCATCCCACTCAGTGCTGGAGGAGAATGAACCACTGCAACCTTGTGGCAGAGCTATGTGTTTCTCTGTGTCACAAACCTCCCAGGAGGAACTATGCTACAGCCTGTGTCCTCTCGCCAACACTGGGGTCATTCATCCACCTGTTTTCTAATTTCCTGACGACTGGTGGTGCGTGCAAGGCTTGGTCTACCCACTTAGAACTTCAGAGCTCCAAAATCTCTAAGCCATGAGCCAGGGAGGGCCCCATAACCCAGGGCCTTCACTTCTACAGCAGGCTTCATCCCACAGACTTGGGCTCCAGGCCACCTCCAGCTCACCAGTATTCTTAGCAGGAACCGTCATACACATGATTTAATACACAACACATTCTGAGGTGTCCCAAAGACTTCCTACATGGGGAACTGCATAAACTCGGACACACCAGTCCTCACGCTTCTAATGCATGACCACTGAGGCCTGAAAACAGTAAACGGGGGATTCTAGAAATGCTTGCTAAGTTTTAAGTAAGGTTTTGACATTGTTATAGTTTCAATGTGATTACTGCTTATTGTTGTCAACCTCTCACAGTGTCTAATTTATCAGCGGTACTTTATAGTAGATATGAGCATATAGGAAAGAACATAGCAGACACAGTGACCTCATGGGCACCACCTATGGTTTCAAGCACCTACTGGTACCTGGAATGCATTCCCTCTAGACAGGCAAATGAACGGACATTTATTTCACACTGCTGGGTGGGCAAGCACGTGGCAAGGCTGAAGAACTAACAGCATCCAGGACACTGAGTGTTTAATGTGAAAAAAGGGAGAGGAACATGATGAGGCTCAAAAAATGACAGCCTGGGAGAGATGAGTGTGAGAGGATGCACCTGGTAGATTAACTGCACAGCCGCCATCTGAGGCTGGCCAACTGGGGGAAACTTGCTGCAAAAATCAATGCATTCCAGGGAGTCTCCGGGGGCTCTCTGCAAGAAAAGGAGTCCAAGGGTAAGGACAGAAAGTCAGCGGCCAAGATGCTGGCTCTGCAGGCATCCTGTACTAAGTGACAGACGGGAATGTCTGTCCTTGGCTCCCTCTGGCTCCCTCTTCCTGTGTTCTGAGAGGCCTGCCAACTCTAGCAGTGAGCACGCCAAGGTCCTTGGGTCAAGCCATTAACAGAAAAAGGTACAGACATTTGGACTCCAAGCAGCTGGGTGGAGGGGGTGGCAAGGTGGGCAGAACCTGGGCACAGCCAACACCTGGCATAAGCTCAAGGAGCTGCTTTAACAGAAGGGTATACGTGGATGTACCTTCCTTTCTTTACTGCTTTGAAGAGAAAACATCGCCATAAACTTCATAATACTAGGTCTTTAGCATACATGTGGGCTGGGCCTAGGAGTAGGTTAGGCTGAGCTAAGCTGAAGTATCATGAGGTGTGGGAAAGACTGGATTAGGCTGCAGCACATGCTAGCACACAGAAAAAAATGGGGCTGAGGGTAGGCCTGGTGGGATTATTGGGATAGCACCTGCTGGGAGGCATGAGGACCAGATCTATGGTGGGCTGGCTGAGCTAGGCCAGAGCACCTGTCAGTTCACGTGAGCAATGGGGCTGGGGGCAGAACTGACCAGGCAGCTGCATTCACCAATGTGTGTGTTGGCAAGTACAACACAACAGACTAAACCTGACCCTATACTGGCTGGTGCACACAAGAGTCAAGTCTGAGGTCACTCCAGGCAAGGTTTCTTGGGGGACTCCTCAACTAGACGACTGGACTCAAACCCGTCACAGGGAAAATCACAAGATATATGGTCTGACTTGAAAGTGCAAGTGTCGAGACTATGCCTCCTCAGTTACTAATGCCTGTACAGTGGACAGTATGTGCATGGGGGACATGACAGCCAGTTCATCTAAGCTAGCAGAGAACGTCGAGAGCCTTATCAGAAGATGAAAAGCAGAAAAGGTTGGACAATTCTCCTGACAGGTTCCTGGACCTGTGGATACTCTAAGGTGGACTTTGTCAACCTTGGAAAGATTTTCTCAGTCCTGGTGCAACAAAGTCAATAATGTCTCAGAATTATCAAAACTATCCAAGTAACACCCTCAGAACACTCTTCCCCATGTTGGGGTCTCTAAGGCATCATCAGATGACCACCCCCTCATTCCTGGGTGCTGATGTGGTTTGACAGCAAGGAATTGCCTCCCTCCCTTTCCCTCATTGCAGACACAGGAGAAAAAATAATTCAAACGTTTGTTCCACCCACCTTCCTCCATGCCTCAACCCTTCCCATCCTAATGAGAGGCCCACATAATCATATATCCCTCTCAACTATGTAAACAATATTAAAAATAAAATAACATCTGACTTTTAAAGGAAAAAAATTGGGTCTTATCACAAGCAAGGAAAAGGGAAAACCCTCCAGACCAAGAAAAGTCCCCTCAATATACCACAGATAGGATTAAGAATGACT